TTAAAGGCATGCCCTTCCCTCCCTTTAGTGCTCCTGTGTCCTTTAGTTGTAGATTTTCCCCCCCATCCCCCTAATCCCTAGAGAGTATTTCTGCCATGTGATCAACCTAGTGTTGATCAGTTAGTACCAATTTGATGGGGAGTACAAATGGATCCCATTCTTCTGCTCTTGTGGTGCCCCACTTTGGATAATGGGCTTAAGTTTAATCCAGGAAAGTATAAGAGGTTAATTAAGTCAGATTAATGCTCCTCAACTATGTTAGAATATTAAATAATGTGGTAGGCAGAATTCTAAGAATGACCCCGGTGACCCCAGCAACCCTTAACCTTGTGCAATTTCCTCCCATTTGAGTGTGGTTAGAACCTATGACTATGATTTAAAAAATTACATCTGTGATTATTTTATGTTATATGGCACAGTTGACCATAGGAATAATAGAATAATAAAGAAATTATCCAGGTAGACCTCTGATCACGTGAGTCCTTTAAAAGCAGAAAGTTTTCTCATGCTGGTAGCAGAAAGGTAAGTCAGAGCAACTAAGCACGAGGAGGACTTCATGCACCATTGATGGCTTTGAATGGAGGAGTGTCATGAAAAGGAACATGGAAGGGCTCTATGAGCAGAGAGCAGACATCTGACAGCCAACAAGGAATCTGGGTGCTATGGACTAAATGTTCGTGTACCCCCAAAATTATACGTTGAAGCCTAAATCCCCATCCTGATGGTATTTTCAGGTGGGGCCTTTGGCAGGTAATTAGGTCATGAGGGTGGAGCCTCATGAATAGAATTAGTTTTTTTTTTTTTAATAAGAAGAGACACGAGAGAGATGACTGTTATCTAAGCTCTGTATTGTGAAGATAAAATGAAGATGGTCATCTGCAAATCAGGACATGGGCCCTCACCAGACACCAATCAGCCAGCACCTTGATCTTGGATTTCCCAACCTCCAGAACTGGGAGAAATAAATGTTTATTGTTTAAGCCACCCAGTCTACGGTAATTTGTTATGGCAAGTCAAATCGATTAACACACTGGGAATTCAAACCTACAGTCACAAGAAACTGAATTCTGCCAACAACCTGAACAAACTTGGAAACAAGTTTTTTACCCAGAGCTTTCAGATAAAAGCCCAGTCCACTCAGTACCTTAAGCTAGAGACCCTGAACATAGAACCCAAACTTCTGATCTACATGAACTGTTTGATTTTGAATCAAAAGTGTAGTTTATTATATCTCAAGTGAGAAGCAATACAATTAATTAAAGTATGCACCTAAACCATCAACACTGTTTTGCCATCTTAATGGTAGCTTGTTTATTCCAGCAGCAAAGAAGCCCGGAGAGCGAGTGGCGATGAAATTGTGTAAGGCGTTTTCCACCGCTTGTTGAGAATTAATTATATTTCCTTGCAAGAAGTGATCCAAAGCGTGGAAGAAGTAGTAGTCAGTTGGTGCAAGGTCTGGTGAATACAGTGGATGAGAGAGTTTCCAAGTCTAGCTTCTGTCATTTGAGCAGCACGGTTTATGTGATGTGGTTGAGCATTGTCTTGCAAGAGGATTGTCCTGTCTCTATTGCCCAATATCAGCTGATTAATTGCAAGCATCCTCATCGTTTAGTCAAATTGGTTGCAGCAGACATCTGCTGTAATTGATTGATCCGGTTTCATGAAGCTGTAGTGGATACCATCACCGGACCACCAAACAGATACCATTAGCTTCTTGGGATGAATGTTCTGTTTTGGACTGTGTTTTGGTACTTCATTTTGATCCAACCATTGTGCTGAAAGCTTTTGATTGTCAAAAAGAATCAATTTTTTATCACATGTAGCAATATTGTGTAGAAATGATATGTTGTAACAGCAAAAAATGCAAGCTTTGAGACGATTTCTCTTCTGATGCTTAATTCATGCAGAACCCATCTATCCAGCTTTTTACCTTGATAATTTGTTTCAAATGGTCCAATATTGTTGGAGTAGTAATGTCAAACCTTGCTGCTAATTTACACATAGGTTGAGATAGATTAGCTTCCACTACAGCTTTATCCACCTTGGTCTCAGGTCGCCCACATGGCTCATTTTCAAGACTAAACTCACCAGAATGGAACTTCTCAAGCCATTGACATATGTGTGTTCATTACCCAACTCCTTCCCAAACAATTCATTGATATTTTGAGCTGTCTGTGCTACATTGGCTCCACGATGGAACTCATATTTGAAAATAACATGAATTTTTGACTTATCCATGGTTTCACAAAAATTTCTCTTAAAGAAATTTTTGAAAGATAATCACAGGCCAAACTGTGTGTTTGAAAAAATGAGGATGTACCTTCACAATAAAAATAAAACAAGAAGTGTCAAACATCAGAGATATCAACTGTCTAACTTAGTACTTAAGAAAATCAGATATTTTGTACTTAATTACCTAAATATTACTTAATTAGTCATATTTGTTTTCTAATCCCTGTTGCAACAAACTACCACAAATTTAGTTGCTTGAAACAACACAAATGTATTCTCATACAGCGCTGAAGGTCAGAAGTCTAAACTCTAAAATCAAGGTGTTGGTAGGGATCCATCCTTCTGAAGACTTCTACTTCCTTACCTTCTTCAGGTTTTAAAGGCTGCCTGTATTTGTTGTCCTGTGGCCCCTTCTTTCCTTCACCTCAACATCTTCCTTTGATCTTTGCATCTCTATCTCCAGATCCTTAACTTAATGAGATATTCAAAGTCCCTTTTATAATATTCACAAATTCATTATATATTATAAAATTTGCAATATACATCACTAATGAATGTCTGTCTTCAAATCACATTAATATTATACCATTTTACAGTGTAAGAACTTTACAACAGTATAACCATTAAATCTATTTCTCCTTCCCATTTTTGCTTTTGTTGTTGTGCATTTCATATCTCTCTGTTTATAAATCCCACAATATGTTTTTACTATTTTGCATAGGCACTCAGCTATCTTTTATAATTATGTGTTTAAAAATAATATATTTTATATTTACACTCATTTTTACTATTTTTTCTGTCCTCTTCTTATTTCAAAATATTAAGGGGGTACAAATGTTTTCGTTGCATGGATACCTTGTATTATGTTTAAGTCAGGGCTTTAAGTGTGCCTGTCACCAGAATAGTGTTCATTGTACCTGAAAGGTAAGTTTTTATCCCTCACTCTCTTCGTTGCTTTCCAGTTCCTTTATATCTCTTTGTCCCTATGTGTGCCTATCATTTAGCTTTAGAGTTACATTATTAGAGAGTACATGTGGTGTTTGTTTTGCCATTCTTGAGATATTTCACTTAGAATAATGGTCACCAGTCCCATCGAAGTTGCTATAAATGACATTATTTCATTCATTTTTATGGCTGCATAGTACTCCATGGAATGTGTATGTATATATATATACATGAATTGATGGGCACTTAAGTTGATTCTACATCTTTGCAGTTGTGAATTGTGCTGCAATAAACATTTGGGTACAGGTATCTTTTTGATAAAATGACTTCTTTTCCTTCACCCAGTAGTGGGATTGCTGGGTTGAAAGGTAAGTCTACATTTATTTGTTTAAGGAATATCCATACTGTTTTCTATAGAGGTGGTACTAATTTGCAGTTCCACAAACAATATAAAAACATTCTTTTCTCTCTCTATCCCTGCCAGCATCTATTATTTTTTGAATTTTTAATAATGACCACTCTGACAGGGAGAGGTTGTGTCTCATTATGGTTTTAATTTGCATTTTCCTGATGGTTAGTGATGTTGAGCATCTTTTCATATGTTTGTTGGCTATTTGTCTATCTTCTTTCAAAAAACTATTCATGTCTTTTGCCCACTTTTTAATGGAGTTGTTTATTTCTCGCTGATTTGTTTGAGTTCTTTGTAGATTCTGGATATTAGCCCTTTATCGGATGTATAGCATGCAATATTTTCTCCCATTCTGTAGGTTGTCTATTTGCTCTGCTGATTATTTTCTTTGCTGTGTAGAAATTTTTGATTTAATTAAGTCCTTTTTATTTCTTTTTGTTATTGTTATATTTGCCTTTGGGATCTTAGTCATAAATTTTTTGCCTAGGCCAATGTCTGGAAGAGTTTTTCCTGTGTTTTCTACTAGCATTTTTATGGTTTCTTGCCTTACATTTAAGTCTTTCATCCATCTTGAATTAATTTTTGTATATGGTGAGAAAAAGGAGTCCTGTTCCATTCTTCTGCATGTGGCTATCCAGTTTTCCCAGCACCATTTATTGAATAGGGCTTCCTTTCTCTAGTGTATGTTTTTGCCTGCTCTGTCAAAGATCAGTTGGTTGTAGGTAAATGGTTTTATTTCTGGTTTTGCTATTCTGTTACATTTCTTTTTAATATAGGTTCAAATTTCCATCTGTCATACTTTCTCTGAGGAGCTTCCTCTAATACATCACGTAATGCAGATCTGCTAATAATGAACTTTTTCAGTTTTTCTCTGTCTTAAAATGTTCTTATTTTGCCTTTTTTTGAATAAAAAACTTTTGCTGGGCATAAAATTATATTGTTTTAGTTTAATCAGTACTTTAAAGATGTCGCTCCATTGTTTTCTAGCTGATGTAATTAATGATGAGACATTTTCTGTACTTCTTATAGTTATTCCTTTCTATGTTTTTGTTGTTCAAAAATTTCTCTTTATATTTAGCATTTCAAAGTTTGGCTATCATGTGCCCACATATTTATTTGTTTGTATTTTGTTTGTTTGTCCTTATCTTGTTATTTTCTGACCTTTTTAGATCTGTGATTTTGGAGACTTTTCAGCCTATGCCTCTTCAAATATTTCTTCAACCTTTTCTCTTTTTTTTTGGGACTTCACTTACTTGAATGTTAGACTATTTGATATTGTCCCATAACTCTGGCACAACTCTTTTCTTT